CATTTACTGTTGAGAGTGGTCATTCTCCTTGAGGTGGTAACTATTTAACACTATTGCAAATTGCCTTCTTGGCAATGCACTTACAAAGATAATTTTTCCATAGGTGTGAATAAGATACAACTTGTTGGCAAAATCGCATCAGTGTACTAAGGATACAGCTAGGGCAGGTAGTAACTGTTTGTTACTTAAGAAATTTTATGTCTTCATCATGGGCCGAAAACCTCTAATGAAGGTAACAGCATTAGCCAAATATTGACGTCACATTTTAATTCTCTAGATCAAAAAAAGAAAATTCAGGAATAGTTTTGGGACTAGTGATTACAAATTCAAACGTGTCTTCATTAGGGTCAGCAAAATGAATTTTACTAGGAAATTTTCTAAATTTCTAAAATTTAATTAATGAATTTAAGATATTTAATTCTTTCCAATTGTCCAGAATGTTCTGTGCATTTACTGAACTCAGTGATCTTCCACCAGCTGCAGAGTCAACAGCTCTACTGAATGGCATCTGGTACCTGGCCTCATGGAATTCTAAGATGTTCTGTAGGCATCTTGTCAGTCCATCTTTCAGAATAGACTACAGAATCAGTTTTCAGATACCAATATTGCTCCAGTAATACTGAAAATATATTTCTTAAATTCGATAGTTTCTTTTGTGGTGCTCAAGAATGTGGTTTAGGATGTATAGGTATATTGTTGATGAGCATATTGCTTCTCAAATATGTTCTACTTTGAGTACACTACATGGGAAGAGAGAAGCCCAAATGATACAGAGGTGCACTGATGGCTGTTGTTTATTGCTTCCATTCGTTCCATGGAGTAGAGTTCACAGTCTGCCGTTAGTACAGAGCTCTGTGATAGGCTAAAACTTGGGTGCCGACCATTTAAAGAAAACATAATTAGAGCTTATGAAATAGAATAATGATTCAAAAGATTTAATGACAAGATTCAGAAAGGACAATGAGAGTCACATTAAAAAGACATGCAATCTCTGGAGGGTCTTTTTAAATTTCATCTACACAATAATTTCCACACTATTTAGAAACTCTTCAGCAGCAATAAAGAGATTTAAACATGTTCATTAAATAGCAAATCTACAATGGGGGGGGGGCGGACAGGGAAAAGGTAAAGGAAGGAACTGAAAAGAGATTTGAGACTGGGAAGTATCTCTGTAGAATATTCTTTGTTAACAGCAACATGATTGTAACAGATTATGAAAATTAGTGCAGGTGACTATATGTGAGAAATTAGGATTAAAAAAGCACATGTTCTGGATATATATTTGATGTATAAGTAGCAATTAACTGTCAAAGTTTAAGATTTTTCTTATCATATATTATATTATCCATGTAGCCACCTCAAATCATTTCTAGAAATGGCTAGTAAGTACAAATAAATGAATTTCTCCTACATATGCTTTCTGACAAACTACTGTCATCCTTAATGCACAGATTTCATATAGATGAAGAAATAGATATGTGGTCCTCTTTATGCATATTTTGCACAATTAAATGCTTTGGTAGTGTTGATCATGGCAATGAAGATAAATGAGGGAAAGTAAATACAAAAATAATATTAGAGACTATCAGTAATTACCTGTATCCTGATAAGAAGAATCTGGTGAATCGATGTTTTTGTTAGTGTCTAAAGTAAGCAAAGCAGAGTCATGTTTATAAGAACACTCACCCCTTGGGTTATGTCATGTAGTATTTTCAATCTTAACTGGAGTGGATTTTATATAGTTTTTATTTAATCTAAAAAATAGGAAATTCAAATAAGTATTTGAATCCAAACTTTTGGATTTAGATTCAAGTGCACTGAACAAAACACTGGCTCCTGGGGTGTGTCCTATGGCATTTTCACTGTAATCGTCAGTGGGCTTGATATCAGTCTTTACTGAAATCTCACTAATAGAAAATCACATTACAACCAGGATCTGCTATAGACTGATATTTTTAAAACTATGGAAATAACATTTTAAAATATCCTAAATATGACTACATTAAACACTTGGCATCTGGAAAATGTTTTGACTGAAGCCTGGGCTTTGACAATTCATGAAGCAATCCACAAATAAAAGTAGTAAAAACTCAAAAATCTGGACTTTCTCCAGAGTTTGGGAGTGCTTAATTAGCATGTCAGCCCAGAGAAATGAAGATGACTTTGTTGTTGTTTTTTCCAAACACAAACACAGTGCAACTCATTGGAGACTGTCGCTGAGCTGTGGTTAAAAACTCTCAAGGGAAGGTGCTTTACGACACTGCTCGGCTCATTGATGAAACCCTGGGTTTGAGGCACTGGGGCAGCACACATCTCTGCCTTCGACAGGGGACATCAACCCTATTAAATGTACAATCTAGGAAGGGCAGGCCTATCACTTCCACTTTAATATGTCCCACTTGTGCCACAGTAAGATAGAAGATAGGCAAACAGTTTTGAATAATAAGGACATTTTTGTTGCATTAATAATTGCCTTTGATGAACACAAAGAATGTTACTCAACTAGTTTTTAATGTGAAAAAGTTCTAATAAACCATAGCAATTTTTTAAAAAAGGTACCAAGTTGTCTTTCTGGTTTCTTCCTACTTGAATGAAAAATGTATGATAAAAACCTTACATTATATGTATTATATATATAAAATGTATAAATTATATAGCATATACAATTTTTATATATTAGATAAATATATATTTGTTAGGTATTATTCAATATAAACCTTAATTATGTATGTATGTAACTGAATGTACATAAAAATATATAAAAATATATATTATCTTTTTATGCAACTGAACTTACAATTAGAAATTCACTTAATTTTGCAAATTTATATATTGAAACAATGAACAACAATAAAAATCCCCTCTAAGAGGATTAAAGTGGTTAGTCCAATTGAAAATCAGTATGACTTACTTTAATAATTTCTTAGTGCCTAAATGATATTACCCCATTCTTCCAAAATGAAAGTTTGGTTGGAAAGAATAAGGAAGAACAAAGTAGGCACACTGGCTTTGCATATGAGCTCTCCCAATTCCTGGAGTGATCCAAAAGGAGGTAAGAGAAGTTTGGTCAGAAGTGCAGAAGAGGGTGCGGTCAGTAAAGATGCATTTCCGCTCTTACTAAGCTCCTCATGATTTGGGTGGTAGTAAACACCTGCATGACTCTGCATAATATACTTCAAATGCAGCATCTGTCTGTACTGACTTACTTGATAGTTATTTTTATTTTATTTTTACATAGGATTGAACCTACCTGTAACAAAGTAGTATTTATTAAACAATTAGTGAATGAATGGATATGAGATTGTCACCAGTACCTAGGGACTTAGAGTACCCAGGAGCTTGATGCACACTAAGTTTTGGTGAAAGAGAATGGCTCTGGAATTCAACCTCTAAAATAATATCCATGAAAGTTTGCTGTCTCCATAAGAGAAATTAAGAAAATTCCACTGCTCTATTTTTAACACATGGGTAGGTTTTAGAAATACATTACTAAACTAATTACCTTACATTATATTAGGTGGAGTTTTAAAAAACTAGCCAAACAAGAGCATAGCAACTTAAAGTTGCTACAATGCCTCTAGGCTATTGGTGGCAATTTGTCATTTGTGTATTTCTACAAGTACATATATAAATAAAGGATAATATTAAAGCACAATAAAATGATTAAAATTTCAAACAGCAATAATATTAAAGCACAATAAAATAATAAAAATTCCAAACAGCAAAACATCATTTAATGCTAAATGTCTTAATTATCTAATTATAAAATAAATTAACTAAATTGTGCATGGCAATGACAAATATTGCCAAATGATTTACTTCCTTCTCTTCTGTCAATACTAAAGAACAAGCAGTACATTCAAATCACTGGAATCTGTGTTGAGAAGTATATTTGTAAGACAAAAAATCTATTTAATCTATTATTATTTGATGAAATAAAATGAAAAACATTTTAGATTGTGATGCAATTATTGGCAGGGACTAAAGAAACTATCAAAATTTACCAAATATTTTTGAAAATGACACATTTACACATAACAAAATAGAAATCATTAGTCAGCCAGCCTACACTTGTCAGCAGCAAGATCACACTCTTCCCTGAAACTAGGAATATGAGTGCCCAGCGATTTTGACTCAACATGATACATTCTGAGGGGCAATCTCAAAGCTAATCATACTGCATCATATATTTGAAAGTTGCTAAAAGATTAGATGTTTATGTGAGGTGATGGATGTTAGCTAAACTTATTATGATAATCATTTCATAATATAAATATATTAAATCATCGTCTACTACACCTTAAACTAATATATGTCAATTATATTTCAATTAAAAAAAAAACACCCACTTTACACTTCCCAGCAAAGCGGTCAAGTTTCGTCAGGCTGCAGCTTGAAATCTCCTTCAAATGATTATGTGTTGCATACATATTGTAATGTATTCATTCCTTTTTATTGCTTGGCAGTCCTTCACTGTATGAATACACCAGAGTTTGCTTAACCATTCATCTGTTGTTGGATGTGTGGGTGGTACCTTGTTTTTGGCTGTTGTGAATAAAGCTCTCATGAGCAATTGTGTACAAACCTTTGTATGGATATGTTTTCAAGTTTCAGCAAATTTGAAACATTCTTATTTCTGTTATTAGGAAACACTATTTTCACCTTGAAGATTGGCAATATTTTAAAAATTCTAAGTCTGGATAAGGGTGTGCAAGGATTAAAGAATACTCTTTTATGTGAGCAAAATGGGGCCATGGTTTGGCACAGATTTTTTCAAGGGCAATTTGATAGTACTTACAAAAAAAATGTTGATCATTTGTTCCAGAAATTTTCCATTAATTTGCTGTAATACCGGGTAAACTACTTAGCATCTATGTGCCTCTATCTCTCATCAGTGAAAAGAGGATGATAATATGTAACATGTATATGTGGCTTAATATAGGTTTAATATGTGATTCTTAGGATTATAGTAAGTATTAAACAAATTAATTCACAAAAAATCCTTGTCATACCAAAACATTTTTATTATTATTTTTACTATTACTTATAGGAATCTATTCTTCAGAAATACTTGATCAAATAGATAAGAAATGTATATTTAAGAGTGCTACAATAATATTGTTATAATAAAATATTGAAGACAATCGATATGACCTCCAATAAAGGATTATTAAATAAATTGTGGTACATCTGTAGGAGGTAATATAGAGAAAGGATGCGTGTAGTTGTGGAGAAGACACAGCTTAATCCTAAATCTTGCCTCAGTCCTTACCAACTGTGAAGCTTGCTCTATTCCTTAATCTCTTTGTTGTCTCAGTTTCTTCAACTACGAAAATAATGATTATAGTACTAACTTTATGAGATTTTATGAGGAATCAATAAGACATTACATGCAAATCTCTTAGGTGAAAATCAGAGTATAGTGAGCATTCCACAAATTGTGATATCAATACATAACATTAATGTACCTTTATAAGAATATGGCTGGGTCTGCATGTGCTATCATAGAAGGGTACTCATTAGAGAAAGGTTTTACTTTTTTTCCTCTGCAGATACTGTGTTATGGCAGCAGGTAAAAGATCCACTTAAATATCCTTATATTTAGGTATAAATGTTCAAATGTTTATCAGTTATTACTTTATCTTCTAGTTACAAGAAAAGAACAATAGTTATGATTCAAATTCAACTTTCTCTACTTTATTAAATTTGATTACAAATGAAAATTTGATATATAAAATTGATCAACTCAACAGTAAAGGGTAAAAGTCAACAAAAAAAATAATTCATGGTCTTTGAGTAATTTACCTGAGTTTGTGAATTTAGGAAATATATGTTATCCAGAGAATAAAAAATGTTAAGTGTTTTATTGGAAAAGACTATTGTGCCTAACAATATTGAGTGATTGCTATTTTATAAAATTATTTTACATTAAAATGACTTAACATGAGAAAACAAAACTTATTATGCTCACAAATGCATTTTGTTTTCTGTGCTACTAAATCTCTTTAACAGCATGAACTTCAATGCAGATTGTTCAAAAGATATTCAGATAATTTTAAGAAATAAATTTATAGCTTCACAGATTAAAAAAGAAGTCGAATTTCATTTCGTGTAGAGAAAAACGAAAACGGAGCAGATGTGCATGCAAAGGTAAATAAAAATCCGGGCTGCTTCTCAGTAAGGTGACAGTCTGTCTTTCACACTAATTTATGTGCGGTATAACAAGTAACCACTAAATGTAGTAGCAGGGGGAAATTTGGCTGGAATTGTTCCTTTTACAAGTCGCAACCACACTTCCTGCCCATAATTTAACTCTAATAAGGCATCCCCAGTCAAAACCCTATCACAGTGTGTTTCACTGTTAATATTTCCAAATTCAAATGCAAGCTTGTCTATGCCATCAACCACTAGAAATCCAGAGATATGAGCACTGAAAGACTCAATGGTATACTTAAAAACATACACTCCAAGGTATGGAATTCTGAATTTTCCAGTTCTTGGAGTATATGAAGCACCATAATTGACATCTAAGTTATTAAATAAGATAGGACCAGGTGTAGTCATTCCATATGTATGAGATGCAAAAAATGCCACCATTGGCGCATATCTATAAGATCCTTTGGAAAAATCTGTTAAAAGAAAAAATGGAAAGTTAATTTTCATGTTTTTATCTTATTTATCTTTTTCATATTTTTATCATTTATCTCAATTATAAAAAGGGTTAGCAGAAGGAAAAAGGTCCTTCATCAGACTTAACAACAGCATATATGTCCATTTGCCTGCTTCTTCTCTTGGCTGAATTACCTGAAATCAGTTAGCCTCTCTGAGCCTCAGTTTCTTCATTAAATGAGAGAGGACAGAATGATGATACTACTTGATACCACTCATGCCCCATATTTGCATGTTGCTTTGATCTCTCCACAGATAAAGGAATTCAAAGCACTCTGTGATTATTATGGTATGCCAGAATGTTTTAAAGTCCCTCACAGGAACTGAAGTCGACATGATATAGAAACAAATTTTCCAGTATCTTGTCAAACAGTTTCTACAAGCCAAAATGGAAACCAAATGAAGTCATAGGCACTATAGAGAAGTAGACAAAAGGAATTTTCTATGTAATTAATGCCAAATTCTTACAAAGGCTGAGATTTAAAAATAGACTAAAAAATTCATTCCACCCTATCCAGCATTTGATTAAGAAAAAAGCCTGATTCAAAATATGTTTCTTTGCTTTTATTAAAGAGAATGTATTTTAAATGCTGCATATATTTCCTTGTATAAAAATCAGAAATGCTACACTCTTGAAATAAATTTATAGCAACCAGTATTTAGGAAGGTAAACGGACAGAAAAGCATCTTGCTCTACTCAATACATTTGAGGATGTTCTAACAGCCCTCAACCCATCAAAAGGCACTACTAACCTTCATAAAAGACATGTTGCCAAGTGCTTATTAAAGCTTCTGACTGACTATATTTGATATGAATCAAAGGTGTGTTTCTTTAACAACTTGTTTCAGGAGAGTTTACGCCAGTCAGATATATAATCTGTATTTTCTTTTAAGGTGCCTAAGAAAAAAACTGCCTCTATAATACCAATATTGAAAATTTCAGCAAATGTATATCAATATCAATTTACCTGCCAAAAAGACATTTCCACTTGTAAGTCATGTATACTAGTCAATAAATTTCATAAGTAAAAGGAATTAATCCTCAAGGGAGTCGAGGTTAAACAGGCTTAAATATTCATTTGTAAATATTTTCAAAAAATGTTTTTGTTTTTGACATTGAGCATATCCAATGATGCATGCACTTTCTTACCTGGAGCTAAAGCGTTTTCTTCCACCAGCTTGACAGTACAGTTGTCACCAGTAAAAGGATGTCGGCAAGCACAGATAAAGCTAGTTTTCCCATTTATACACGTGCCCCCATTCTGGCATGGGGACCTACTACAGTCTGAATACTCTCCTGTTACTGAAAAAGTCAAGATAAAAGAGTGTAAAAGTGACCTATTTTCCAGTTGATTTCAAATCTTACTTTGCAGTAGAGTGGAAAAAAACACTGAAGGAGAAATAAGAAAAATGGGTTTCCAGGCCCAGTGAAGCCACAATTAATCATGGCACTTCATGCAAACCCCTTTACTCTCTGAGCTCCCTTTCTTGCTTCTTTGAAGTGGAGATAATTTGTGAAGATTACATTTATTTGTGTGGATGTTAAGATTTAGGTCAATTGCAGAACAGAAGAGAAACTCTGGACACAGTATCATATATTTGGAACTGGTACATGATAAAGATAATATTTCAAATCATTGGCAAAGGAAGATATCTATTCAATACATGGTGTTAAGTTAATTAGATATGCATAAAAACATAAATTCCCCATGTACAAAAACACTGAATAAAAAAGAACCCAAAACCACATAAAACTGCATTGTAATAAAATAAAAGGAATATCTTTGTAGCACTTTAAAATTTTGGAAAACTCAAAGCAAAACAAAACATAAATCACAAGCTGTATGAGAAAAATCCTAATATTTGACCACCTATGAATCAAAATTCATTTACAATGAAAGCCATTATTACCAAAGTTCAAAGATAAATGACAGATTAGGAGAAAAGATTTTTTAAATAGGCATACATCTAATGACCATAATCCCATAAATGAAAAGTTCTGACCAATCCAAAAGATTGTGAAAAAAAGTGAAAAGTGGGCAAATGATATAAGCTGGCAAATCATTGAATAAAGACCACAAAAGCTTCTGAAACCTTTAAAACCCCTTCAGCCTCACTGCTAATTAAGGAATATTAATTATCACCATTAACATTTTTATATCACATGGTAACATTTAAGAAAAGGAAATAATCAGTCATTGTGATACAAGGAAAAATAGACATTCTCAAACAATGTTGGTTACACCTTAAATTGTGAGAACTTTTGAATAGGAAAATTTGTTCATATTTTTCAGAATTAAAAAGATTCACTTGCTTTGAGCCAGAAATTTCTCCTGGCAGAATATGTACTCCAGACATACTTGCCTTTGTATAAAAAGAGAATTGTTCAAGATGTTCTTTATGATATCCTTTGCATTACTGAAAAATTGTAAGACACATAACGGATGTCATTGATGAGAGACATTAAAATGAATTATAGTGTTTTTTCACTAAGAGTATCAGACAGCAATTAAGGAATGAGATAGATGCCCAACACATTTGACTTATTGAAGTCAGGATGCTCTAGTTCACATATTAGGTATAGAATAATTTCAATTATTTACACAAGCCTCCAATTACGAATATGGTTATAAAAATAATACATAAACAGAGAAAAGGTTATAAGAACACCTGTTAGTCCACAGTTACCACTATGGCACCACCTTGTGGCAACAGTGTAAACAGTTTACAATTCACTCATTTAAAATACTAATTGTTGATGATTTTTAAATATAGGGTTATTTGCTTTGTTTAACATTTTTCTCAAGAAGTGAGAGCTTATAAATATTTTATATACATTCTATTTCATACTTAAGTAATTCAAATTCACATAAAATGTGACCAAACTGTAGGCCGGTATTAGATTTTTTTTGCAAACATATGTATTACTTATGCAATTAGATATGTATTTATATTATTTTAATATATTATCTGTAGAATTCCATAAAGTATCTTCCTTATTAAAATACATATGAAAAATAAATTACATGTATGGACTATCTTTTAATATATTTTTTAACTTGTCCACATTTATTTAACAACGTTTCTCAACCATGTGAAAATTATTAAATCCTTCCATTGCTTTTACTATCATTCTAAAATCTAGGCCATTATTTGCTAGCTTTAAATACTTCAATAATTCTCTACCAGCTACAGAAATGTAAATTCTTTATGTCAAAGCACTGGCTTCATGTTTTCACATGCTCTGAATCTAGCACAGTAATTGACTTACAGGATGTTCAATTAATGTGTTCAGTAGGAATCAATCAACTGCAGTGGAGTTGGGGGAACACTGAATTATTTATGTAATCTGATCAGCTGTATAATTCTTATTTTCCCAGATGGCAAAATGCCACTTTCACCTGTAGACTCAGCCATGTACATGAATCAGGAACCAAACCTGTTCTAGGCAGGAGAATTTCAGAAACTCTAGAAATGTATTCTTTGTGTTGTTATTGGCTCTATGCTGATTCTACGTGACCAGGACCTTTGCCTTCGATTTAAGATCCAGGATGTGAATTCCTTTCTGTTTCATTACCTCCAGGAATGGGTTCTTTCCTCAGTCCTTTTTTTTTCTCTTTGAGTCATTTTAGAGGATGCCTCTGCCTTTTATTCTAATACCTTAGCAGGGTCATTCATGGTGAGAAGAGGTCCACTGGGGGCCTCTAATTGGGGCATGCATCTTCTTCTATTGCTATAGTAGCTCTAATTTTCTGAGACTATACACATTTTGCCTTCTAGAACATCTCTCATGGTGCCTACTGATTACCTGTTCAAGTGCATTACTCATTGGTCTACACCAGCTTCTGCTGCATGTGTTTTAAGTTCCTTTCTTAGTCTTCTTTGATAATTTAGGTAACTCTGGTCTCCAAGTCCCTGTCAAAATAATCCACACTACACTACATAAAATTATTCCCACAGCTCCCAGAACTAGACATATTGGGAACTGAGTCTAATTAGAGCAGGTTATGGTAACAATTGTCAGTTACTCCTGCTGAAATGACCTTACAATTCTATTAATGTTATATAAGCACTAAGTATTCATCATCTATTTTTGCATCAGTATTACATTGTGTTGTAACAGATCTTCTACGCTCTGATGTCACTGGAGTTCTCTAAGATTACATTTTTATTTGATTCACTTTAATATGAATTCAAAATTATTACTGATAATTAAATTTATCTTTTTAGACTTATTATCTCTATCCATGGAAAGTGTTCTAACTCTGGATGAGATGTTTTAACCATCCCTCTCAGCTTTATCATTTCCAAATTTACCATCCAAATCATTGATGAAAACAAACACTTACTGAGTCAGTGTCAATTACAGAACCTTCTAACAGACAAAGACTGAAACTATTCCTATATCATTACACAATTAGCTACAAATATACTTTTATCATCTGACTTACATTTTTCAACTTTAATCCTGAAATACTTAAAAATGGTTAGATACTTTTATAAGTTCCTGTATACATTTGTGCTCAATAGGCAATTTATTCTTAATTAACAATAAAAATCAGATTTCTATAAAGCATTGTTCTCATTCTGACATCTTCATTCCTCCCTATTACTGAAATTAACTGCATTAATTCTCTTTATTATTGTCTGATACTCTGAAGTTTTCTTGTTGAACTTATCACAGTACTGTAATTGCTCACATGTCCTTCTTCCAACTAGAGTGTAAGATTTTGTGAGGTCAGGGCTTAGCTCCTCTACTTCTTAAAATTTGTGTCACTACTGACCAGCACAGTGCCTGGCATATATAAGTGCTAAGATGTCTTTTTTAAAGATGAATAAACAAATTAATGAAAGATTTTAGCAGATTACCACATTCTTAATCTAATATTCTGTTTTTTCTTCATAGTTTCTTAAAGATCAGGTAGAGTTTGACTCTGTTATGTCACTGGAATGTTTTTTTTTTAGAGACATGGAATCATTTCAAGCATACTTTCCATAGCTTCTCTCTTACCTCAAAGTTCAATAACCTCTTCAACTCTTTCCAGTCCATTATTTTCTTTGTTGGAGATCAGGATAATATTTGAGAATTCTGCCAACTCAACAGTCTACTATCTTGTGCAAATAGTATAACTAACCTTTCGATACTCATTTCCTTGCTCTGAAGATGACTAAAATTCCTTTGCCATGGTCTTGGAATGTTCATAAGTTTTAATCTGTCTGGTCTTTGCTTTCTGGACCCTGATATGTGCTCAAGTTATACTTTTCTATTAATCCTTTTTCCATATTACATAAATGTTCATGTTAAATTTGAACTGATTGGAGAGCTCCTTACATTTTCAAAGCCCTCTACCTTTGTTAATATTTGCCATTCTTTATTGTAATTACTTGCTTAATGTATGAGCTACCAGAGAAGAGGGACGGTTGAATTTGCCACTTAGTCCACTCAGCCTTTCTCAGTGCTCATTCAGCACTTATTCAAGAGGTATTTGATGAAGAAAATGAAGTATATTACATTGAGTCTTCTGCTTCATTCTTATTTTTATCTCTAGTATACATGATATGCTACATATAATGTATTTTATATTTTTTTACTTATTTATTTAAATTAATTTTTATTTTTTTATTGCTTAGTTCTGCATAGCATCAAGATCTTATTTATTATTACTTCATTTAAATAATAACATTGCAGGGACAGGAAGATGGCAGAATAGGAGGTCACTGTGATAAACATCTCCCACATATACACTGAGGAAACAGCTGATTTAATACAAGTAACACAGAAAATGACCTGAAAATGGACAGTACAGACCTTCTACACCTGGTAAAAGAAGAGAAGACCATATTGAGAAGGGTAAAGGAGCAGAGCTACCATCAACTGGGATCCAAGCCCTCTCCCTGTTCCAACCCCAAGCAGGAAGGAAAGAGAAGTGGATTAGAGAGGCAAAAAAATGCTGAGGAGCTCAGCACACCTGGCCCTGGGGATCTGCTCTTGGAAGACAAGTCTCTACACATTGGACTCTGAAGATTAATGGAGCTGATATCAGGGAGTGTTGGAAGTCTGTGGGGGGCCAAGTCTCCACTTGTGGGGTACTGGCATGCTCTTTCAACTCCTCTCAGACCCAACACAGAGGCAGCAATTTGAAAGATGGTTTGATAGCCTTGGGAAGTGTACTGGAAAGGCAGGAGTCTGAAGGAGCTCTCTTTGGAGGAGAAAGGGCAGGCAGATGCCACTTTTCCAGCTTGCTGTCATCCCAACTGGACAAAAACTTGTGAGAGGCAGCTCTGAAACTCTCCATCTACCCT